GTTCTTAGCTGAGCTAGTTATTGACTACTCAGGCGATTTCTGTATCTTTTTACCAACCTATTAAAACCCTTTTTATTGTTACGTGTTATTTGGCGTTTGTCTCTACTAACCCCAAATCAACATTATAACAATATTTGAGGTGCTTAAAGGATTTCTTTTTCAATTTACTCAATTAATTTCAATTAATTTTCAAAAAAACCTGTTTATTGGGCTGAGCTTTCCTGCACAAAGGTCAACACAATGCAATGGAAATGATTCGCTCTGGGAGAATTCGAGGTAAATTAACAGACAAGATCCTGTAAAGAAAAAGAGACGAACCTTTAAGCGTGTAATGAAACATCATTCAATACAATTTGACCAATGCCTATGTGTTAGGTTCGGTTATTACTTTAATAGATCGAAGTGGAGAAAACAATATTTGCCTTCACCACACAGTGTGGGCAAACTTTACAAAAAAAAAATTCTGCAGAGCCACTGTCGTCCACGTCCCGAAATAACTTTGCATATAAAAGTAAATGTGTGAAATCAAGGAAAACAGCGGAGATACTTATCCATAGCATTATTTCTATATCAATTAGGACCCTCATTTTGCCAGTACAGGAACATACAATAACCGGACAATTATCAGTGTGAAACTTGGGCACGTGTACATGTAATCACTTAAGATAAAACGCCTGGATTAAGCCCCCTTAGATCACAGATGATTGGTGCATTTCGTTCAGTATAAAACTGTTTGCTAAATTGAAATATGCACAGTAAAATGCCAATAATTTGTGTATCGAAGAGATAAGAATTATCTTAATATTAATCTAATCTATAAATTGCTGCCTACCGCGAGAATTTCCTAACGCCTTCCACATTTCAAATATTGCGAATAGTTACAAGATAATCTCTTTAACAATACGGAAAGGAAATACGCCATTTTTCACAGCATTATCAAATAATTTCCTTAAACAAAATTAGGAAAATTCTATATGGACGAATTAAAAGAATGGGTGTAAGGCTGGCATAGTGGTTAGCCTCACGGAACGAGAAAGCAAAGAAACCAGTTCAAATTCCAGTTGAGTTAAACAGTAGAATCCCCGACAACCGGGCTAAGAAGGCCTCTGGATATGAGGAATTGGTTACAAAGTCCAGATATGAGGGGTTATATATAGATTAAAATAAAAGAACTGAAATCAGTTTTAACATTTATTTTCATTGTTTTATAGTAAACAAAATATGATAATGGTGAGTGAAATTTTACGGAACTGATTTTAAGGAAAAAGAAAAAAAAATGTAATGTTAATATAAATTCATTAAATTAAGTATGCCACATATGCAAAACAAATAATGCAACGAGGATTTTTGAGCCGCTGTTGCTTAATGAATATTTCTCTTTTAATGTAATTCTCAACTTTTTCCGAATTTCGTTCACCTTTGTTCTTGAATTTTTTTCAAACAAAATACACTTTTTTAATTCCGCGTGTGCTATTGCAATCGTCGTAGCTGAATGCTCGGGTCCCCACCTAAAAATAGACCTTGTGTCACATTTCATCCAAGTACGGGGACAGTAAATACCGTGTGTAAATTACTCTTTGGGGGTAATTTCACGTTTACTTATCATCTCTCAGTTGCGTTTCTGTCTTTGGGCAGAGCGCGATTAGTGGCTTCTCTGTCAAAGGACAGAGCGGCAACTGAGGAAAATAGTACTGGGGAACAGCTGCCTGAAGCTGCGCCCTCCCATTGCACCAGAGGGAGGGATCGGTGCTTGCACCGAGGCCAGCGCGACCAACGGTTGCTGAGACTGAGGGGAATTTTTGTTCCTGTTCCGGGTGTACGCGCTCGGGTCCCCTCCTAAAAATAGACCTTGTGTCATATCCCGTCCTAGTGCGAGGACAGAGTAAATACCGCGTTTAAATTAGTATAGAGATGAGATCTTTTAACCTCAGAATTCGTGGGAGAATTGAACTTCAAATTCGCTATTCATTCATAGAGATAACAAGCACTTGTTGCGATAACCCGTAATCGTTTTCCTCAATACGGAATCATCTTCCCGTTGTAAAAATTTTGAATTATTGGCTGTTAAAAATCTCCATTGTGCTGTGGTATATGAATTTAAAAATAAATATTTTTTATAACAATATATTAGGAAAATCAAAGATGTTAGAAACAGCCTTGGGTTGTACGAGAACAAAGAACTTTGTATTGCCGTTAAAGAGACCTTTCTCTTTCTCTTTTTTAACCAATTCCTTTTACTCTACTGTTATGGCCTCTATATTCCCTCATTCTTCAAAGACGGAGCCTGATTCTTCTCTTAAGGTTGCACATTTCTCTTGAATCTGATCTACAATCCGATTTTTTTTTAAAACTTTCTCAAACGACGGGTCACTTTTTATTAATGTTCTTACCATATAGTCACTCCTTTTCTTCTTTCTTCGCCAACAAATACTCTCTTACGTCTGTCCTAGCTAAGACGATAAACTACATCCAAATGCAAGGCCTCTGATCAGCAGGTTTTCAGTAGCGTAGAACGACCTCTTAATTGCTGGTATTCTTAGGACCACTATTACTTAGGTGGCAGCAACTGTTAGGGTCCTAGCTATGGGCAAATATTTAACACCCAAACTGGGGTCAAAACATTGTGAAAGTGTAATAATAGGTTTTAATATCAGCAATGAATTTCTGTAAAAAAATATTACTAGCAATGAATTTCTAAAGAAAAAATTATTACCATCAATATATCAGGTCATCCCATAAGTTCTATCCGAATTTGGAATAAAGAAAACAAATGTTACATTTAATTACAGATTCAATCAACAATGTATTTTCCCTGATTATCTATGACTTCCTTCCATCTTATTAACAAGCTTACTAATTCCATTACTGTAAAATTCTTTGGGCTTTGATTCGAAGAATTCACAAATGTCAGTTTTAACCTCTTCCTGTGTTACAAAAGCTGTTTCTTCCAAATGATTCTGTAAGCTGCGAAACAAATGGTAGTCTGAAGGAGCAAGATCGGGAGAATAATGTGGATGAGGAATTTTCTCTCAACCAAGTTCTTCGATCTTTTGTGACGTGATTCTTGCTGTGTGGGGTCGCGCATTGTCCTGATTAACCATCACCACTTTTCGATTTACTAGGGCAGGTCATTTTTCTCAAAGCTTGGTTTAAACGCTCTAATTGATGAGAGTATATTTGAGCATTAATTCTTGAATTAGGTGGTAAGAATTCAAAGTGGATTATTCCTTAGCGATCCCACCAGATTGAAAGAAGAACATTTTTGCCCATGAAGTTCCCCTCTCGGCTGTGGCTGGGGTCCTTCCCCTTTACCAAGCCACTGTCTACGACGCTTAACATTTCGATAAAAGATCCATTTTTCGTCGCCAGTGAAAAGTCTATCCAAAAAAGGTGAAATAAGTTGACGAGAATGGAGAGAAGAGCAGATGACAACTCGGGATTTGAGGTTGTTTTCACACAAATCATGAGGCACCCATTTTCCAAGTTTAGGAACTTTTCCAAGTTGTTGAAGATGACGATGAACAGTTGTATGGTTTGAACTGAGAACCACTGCCAATTCCTCAATTGATAAAGCAGGATTTTCTTCAAGGGCTGCTTCAAGAAGCTTTTCATCAAACTCAACAGGACGTCCGATTCGATCTTCATCTTCAAGGGTGAAATCTCCACCTCTGAATTTTGCAAACCATCTTCTGCAAGTTCTTTCAATCACACATTCCTCTCCATAAACTGAGTGAATGTTTCTAGCCGCTTCGGATGCTGAGTTACCTTTTTTGAACTCATAAAGCATTATGTGCCTCAAATGTTTCATGGGTACTTCCATGTTAGCAGGGTTTTAATCAAACAAAATTTAATTTTATTGCTCTCTGAAATAAAATTTGATCAGTTTAAATGCATCTAAACATAAAAATAATGTTCAGCTCCATTAGACATTATAAAATACTCTTTAAATTTCGTTTATTTTAACAAAAAGTTAAAATTCGGACAGAACTTATGGGATGACCTGATAGTTTTGAAGAAAAAATATTACAGTAATACATTGTGAGAAAAAAATATTGCCAGTAATATATTTTTGGAAAAAATATTACCAACAATATATTTTGGAAGAAAAAAAATATTACGAGCAATAAGTTTTTGAAGAAAAAATATTACAGTAATACATTTATGGAAAAAAAATATTACCAGTAATACGTTTCTGAAGAAAAAATTACAAAGCAATATTTTTAATTAAAATAATATACAAATTTTTTGAAGAAAAAATATTACTAGCAATACATTTTTTTTAAAAAAAAATATTACCAGCAATACATTTTTGAAGAAAAAATATTACCAGCAATAGAAAAAAATGAAGAAAAAAATATTACCAGCAATACATTTTTGAAGAAAAAATATTACCAGCAATACATTTTGAAGAAAAAATATTACTAGCAATACATTTTGAAGAAAAAATATTATTTTTGAAGAAAAATATTACCATTTTTTTTAGAAAAAAAATATTACCAGCAATACATTTTGAAGAAGAAAATATTACCAGCAATACATTTTTGAAGAAAAAACCAGCAATTTTTTGACCAGAAAATAATAGATTTTTTTTTGAAGAAAAAATATTACCAGCAATAGATTTTTGAAAAAATAAAAATACATTTTATTAAGAAAAAAAACCAGCAATACATTTTGAAGAAAAAATATTACCAGCAATACAATTTGAAAAATAATATAACCAGCAATGGAAAGTCTTGTTGGCTTTAAATAACCCATTGAGGTTGCTATGAAGTAAAACAAACCAAACCAAAAGACTCTCTTATCGTTTATCCTTCAGCTGCAGTCCTTACTACTTTTTCTTCACCGAGTGATCTATTATTCATCATCGTCCATTTTCCCTTCCTTCGTCGACGACGGAGCCATATTCTTCATCTACTCCTTCTCTTTTCCTACCCGTAAATACTTTTTTTTTCATCAGGCCCCTTTTTTCACTTGATGGCCCTAATCCCTTAATCCCGCCAATGACCACTGCTTTTCCCTATTTTCTCTTTCCTTGGTCCCCATTCTTTTCTCATGATGTCGTCACAGTTTACACCCTCGGTTCTAGTCCACCTGTTGCTATTCTTGTTAATGCTCCTACTCCCTTTCTAGTTTTATTGTTAATGCCGTTTTCCTTCTTACGTGTGTAAACAATTTCGCTTATCTCCAACTGGGCATAAAACAGTAATAAACCTTCTGAATTTTTCATTATCTTGCGTAATGTTTGTTGTCTGCATCCGCTTCCTACAGCTCTTGCTATTGTCTTGCATCATGGGAACTGAGCGTATTATTCGCGTTTACAATGCAACGAAATACCATATCACTGGTTACCACAGGAGAACAGAAAATGTGAATATGCAATTAGATCTTTTCTCTTTCACTGTATGCCTTTGCAAGAAGGCTGGTTATCTTTTCATTCGAATCCTGGTTAGTGACTATTTTTTTACATGAAAAATCGATGGTAGCTCTGGAATTTAATAATCTATATATATATATATAAAACAGAATATATCTGTCTGTCTCTTTGTCTGTGTGATATCTTTTCACTCAAGATCCCACCAAATGATTTTGACGAAACTTAGCACACACACTGTATAATGTAAGAAATAGATTCTTAGCGTAAAAAAACCGATAACTATATATATATATATATATATATATATATATATATATATATATATTGTTGCAGTCTTTTGGGTATTATGTACTAGTGAGCCAGTCAAAATGACTTGACTCATTTTATAGTCCATCAAGACAAGTGTTAACCAATCAGAAGACGTAGAATATTCAATCCGTCGTGTATAAAGGCGGCCATTTTGTTTACTCTCTCCGAATGTCCAGTGCCAGCTTGTCAGGCGAAGAGGAACATGAGGAAGAACTACTGAATTACGCTCTGCTACTTTACCGGGATATCCACTGCTAACCTGAACAACGCTTCTCTACTGTCTTCGAAATATTCACTGCTAGCCTCTGGATTCTATACTCAAAGATGACCGTCATCATGAACATATATATATATATATATATATATATATATATATATATATATATATATATATATATTATGAATGATTCATACAAAAACAAAAATGAAGTTAATGATTTAAATGGCGAGAATACAACTTCGCAAACAATTTTAATAAAGTATATTAACCCCGAAACTGTATATCTCGCCATTTAAATCATTAAGTTCTATATCTGTTTTTGTACGAATGATTCATGTAATGTAAATTGAACTGCACAAAATACTTTTTATATATATATATATATATATATATATATATATGTTTACATATGTCAATATGTTTACATGCTTGCACCTAGAGGAAGGATACTTTTTTTGGCGGAGGGCTTACTTCTATTTAAAATATGCAGGTAATGCATTGCACACACACACACACACACACACACACACACACACACACATATATATATATATATATATATATATATATATATATTTATATCATAATGGCGAGTGAGCTACTCTTGCACATAATCTGATTCTCTTTCCACCTCTGCCCCAGTCCTCGGTCTTCTCATCAGTTTGTGTCTACTCTTTTCAATACATACATGATCAACTATCAGAAATGGCGTGATATCTGCCGATAAGTATCTGAATTCAAAGGGAGAAATTCATTAAGCATTGCCACTAAATAAATATACTGTTATTGCCAGTCTCCACAAGGATCAACTGGCTTGTTTAAAAGATGAATTAAAACCGAAAAGAATTTTGTGTGGGGAAAGAATGCAACGGGTCAGTTGTTTACATGAAAATATACGTGAAGTCGTAAATGCGATTCGCCAATCGATCACTGAGCCGGGATGGTACACCCTAGACCTGTCACCTTAGAATTATTTTATGATTCTTTTCATGGAAAGAATTTGAGTACCATTGGATGAGATACTACTTGAAATGCAGTAAATAAAATAAAATAAAACAAATAGTAATAGTTGGTTTTAAAGAGATTAGATTTTGTTTTCTATATAAATTATTGTCCTTTTACATTTTAATATATTTTTTAATTTTTTAAAAGCATTGTTTAGAAAAAAAGATAATCTTGAAAGCGTTGATTTTTTATTGAGTGCTTCTTGCTGACATTTCAGTGTGAAAACAGAAACAATAAATGATACTGCACTTTTCTTTTTCTATTTAAACTTATCAAATTTAACCTTCTAGCATAGAGACATCGATTCCTTTTTAATATTCCTTCATTTCGTTTATATATATATATATATATATATATATATATATATATATATATATATATATATATATATATATGTGTGTGTGTGTAGAGAGAGAGAATTATTTTAAAAGCATCACATGTGAACAATGTATTCTGTTTTTTTTTTTTTTTAAATGAGCATATCGATTTGATTTTTATTTGTACTACTGTAAAACATATATGTTTGCGATTTTTTTTAACAAGCGACACTTTAATGGAGAGAATCTTGTGTTTTTTCATATTAAGCATACCAGGTCACATTCAATATGACATTTATTTTACATCGTAGGTCATTTCCTAGAAGTGCCTTTTAAATTCACAGCTTTTAAAAAATCACTTTGTTCTTTTGTACATTTTTTTTTCACTATAATTTTCTATATTTATCAGTTTCTCTTTATCACGCCCTTTTCTCATTTCGGTTTAAAACTTCAAAGTTCTTATTTTCACAAACACACAAACACACACACACACACACACACACACATATATATATATATATATATATATATATATATATATATGAAGTGGTTTTTCTTCTTAGTTTCCATATCTCCCATTCTTGAAGGATAATGGAAATGTTATGAAGTAATTTATATCTAGTTCTGATCTATCTATCTATCTATCTATCTATCTATCTATCTATCTATGTCATCTATCTTTCTATGTTTATATGTATCTATCTTCATTCTATTTATATCTATCTATATCATTCTGTCTATCTATCTATCTATCTATCTCATCTGTCTATTCATCTATCTATCTATATCATTCTGTTCATATCTATATCTATCTATTCTGTTTATATGTATCTATGTATCCATGTATCTATCACATCTATTTATATCTATCTATCTGTCATATCTATCTATATCATTCTGTTCATATCTATATATCTATCACAGTGTTCATATCTATCTATCTATCTATCTATCTATCATTCTGTTCATATCTATATATCTATCTCATTCTGTTTATATGTATGTATCTGTATCCCATGTATGTATCATCTATCTATCATTCATATCTATCACAGTCTGTTCATATCATTCATCTATCTATCTATTCATCTATCACATTGTTCAATCTATCTATCTATCTATCTATCTATCTATCTCATTCTGTTCATATCTATATATCTATCTCATTCTGTTCATATCTATCTATCTATATATCTATATCATTCTGTTCATATCTATCTATCTATCTATCTATCTATCTATCTATCTATATCATTCTGTTCATATCTATATATCTATCTCATTCTGTTCATATCTATCTATCTATCTATCTATCTATCTATCTATCTATCTATCTCATTCTGTTCATATCTATATATCTACCTCATTCTGTTCATATCTATCTATCTATCTATTTCAGTCTATTTATATCTATCTATCTCAGTCGCTTCATATCTATCAATGTATTTATCATATCTATCGCTTCATATCTATCAATATATTTATCCCAGTCTCTTCATCTATCTATCTATCTATCTATCTATCTATCTATCTATCTATGTCAGTCTGTTTCTATCTATTTATCTATTTCTATCTATCTATCTATCTATCTCAGTCTGTTCATATCTATATATCTATCTCATTCTGTTCATATCTATCTATCTATCTATCTATCTATCTATCTATCTATCTATCTATCTATCTATCTATCTAAGATAGTAATCTTTCCACCTTTCACGCTAGTTACCATTATAACTAGTGTCAAAGCCCGGCACCTCCCACCGATCTGTTCGAATGTTCCGTGAAACGATTCTTCTTACCAACAAACCCATACACACGACCCTCAAGAAAAAAATGACTATGACACGACAATGTGAAACTCGGAAAGAATGAACAGCTAAATGATGTAAATGTTATATATTGCGAGCATAACGATTTTTTTCTCTTTCAACTTTGTTCTGAAATTTACTTTACCTTTAAAATAAAATTATCCATTCCAGTTGGCTGCACAGCTTTTGGGGAGTTTCATGTGCAGCCAAACACGACTTTTCTAAACATGGACGTGTATAAAAGGTAATGAGAATAGCCGTTTCCATACAGGAAACATTAGGCATCCAGTGATTGATGAGTGGGCATTACGGTCGATTGAAATTCATATAATCTTTAACAAATCTTAAAAGAAAAAAGACCTTTAATGCCAACCAACTTATTCTTCTTTCTAGTTTTTGATAGGACATTCATTCCTAGCATTTTGTTTAAGGTCGTGTGAAAAATCAATATCTTGATTATAGCATTATTTTCCCTTCTCACATCGTACTTCCAATGTTAGTTGGTGTAGCTGTTGGATGTCTTCAAGTGTTATGGGGTCCACCCTTTTCAGATATAATGGACTCGTCCTGCTGCCATAAAATAGCTACAGTCAGGCAGAGAAGAGGAGTCGTACAAGAGTCGTCTCTGAGTGTCGGACAGAGTGAGGTACCCCATTGTAGAAGTCAGTTACAAGTACGTAGACTCTAAGGAAGTCCTACTTCGAGACTGTATATATCTATCTGTATTTGCTACTAACCGTGTTCCTGGATTTTACTAACAGCATTACCTTTTGTATTTTGTGTAAATACATTTAATTTCTTAGCTTAAATACTTGCCTTTGTCATTTATTGGATACCTATTTTTCACGCGGGATCCACAACATCAAGTGATGTGATTCTTTTGTCATTTAGTAAAACAATTAATAATTTGGTATCACTAGTCTATAGGGTGTCACGAAGAATTGTTTTCTTTAAGACGTAAAGAATTCATTCGTTTGAAACCATCAGTAATCATTGATCTGAGAAAACGGCTGTATATATTTGATAGTGTGTACATTTCCGAACGAACTGGGTGCTACGCATATCATCCGGCTGAGAGTATAAATCTGAGGAGGCTATATAATAACGACTTTTTTTACGCACACATGCGCCAGCATAAACGAGGACACCAACGACCACACACACACTAACATACATGTGTGTGTGCGTATACATGTACACATCATCAGTTACATAGATGGATAGATATGATCATATTTAAATAGATATGAACAAACTTAGATACATATGAATATACTGAGAAGGTGAGATATATATGAATAGAGCGAGACAGATCGATAGATAATGGCATGAGTTCAGATAGTTAGATATGAACAGACATACCTAAATAACTAGGAACAGACACTTAGATAGACAGATAAATAGATAGATTGATATATATATATATATATATATATATATATATATATATATATATACATATAACAGACTTAGATAAATAGATAATGACATGAATTAGATAGATATGAATAAAGGAGATAGATAGATAGATAGATAGATAGATAGATAGATAGATAGATAGATAGATAGATAGGAATAGACATATATATATATATATATATATATATATATATATATATATATATATATGTATGTATATATATATATATAACAGAGATAGATTGATAAATAGATAATGATGAAATTAGATAGATAGATAGATAGATAGATAGATAGATAGATATGAATAAAGTGGAGATAGATAGATTTGAACAGTCTCAGACAGTTAGATAGATATATATATATATATATATATATATATATATATATATATATATATAAGTCTAAGATAGATAGATAGATAGATAGATAGATATGAAAAGACTGTCATACATAGTACACCCTGCTCTCAATTTTTGTTGGTGTTGTTCCATTTAAATATTTGAAAATATCTAGCCAACAAACCTATTAACAAAATCCTTACACAACACACTGCTTTCTAGTAACAGGTTCAAGAATGGAACGCCCAGTGAGGTTAGAACTCACGACCTTAGTCTGTGAAACGTATTTCTTTTTTATCCTACTGCTGCAGATTGTATTCATTGTTTTGTATATAGAAATTTAAACAATTCTTCGTTGTTTGTCTGTGTACATCTGAAACGACCGCCATACACAAATGAATATTTAGTCTATTCTATAATATAAAAAAACGCAATGTGATATTATACATCCTTGTTCAAATTAATTCAAACAACCGCTTTATTTTCCTTTTCTTTCTATGGTCTGTTTTGAACCCTCTGGAGTGACAGGGTGTAATCGATTTCTATTTTTTCTCAGATTAGGCCATTTGCAGTGATTTGCAGTAATATGAATCTATTTTCGGGTGCATGATGAAATTTGTTTGGTCTTGAAAGATATTACGTCATCTGTGGTTGCATCAGATTTTTTCACGCCCAGACACTATTGTCTCTACTGCCGATTAGTTGTCCTACGGCTGTTGTCTGCAATGGACGTTACTCCAAGTGTGGCACCCTGCATTATTAGAAAAACTAAAAAGAAATATTCATAGAAATATGATTTAATTTTTATTCGGTTTATTAACCAGTTGTTAGTTATTTAGACGAAGAATAATTGAGTTTTGAGAATAATTCTCTAATTGTATTTAGGCGATCCTAAGGGAACAAGAAGGAAAAAAAGAAAGAGGAAAAGAAAGAAAAAAGAGGGGAGAGATGGATAATGCAAAAGCCGGTCATAAGCGAAAACAGGTGTCAAGAGATATCTAGGCCAACGCGCCTGACCGAATTTCACGAACAATAGAAATTGTTATATGAAAGAATAGGGTTAGAGATAATTAAAAGAAAGAAAGGAAACAGACATGGTACAAGTGAAAGACATCAAGACGGACGATTAATAAAATCGGTCAAAACACCTGGCCTACTTTTGTGTCCGCGGAATGTGGAAGTTCATTATCAAGTTGGAAAATGGGATTTTTTTAGAACAATGGAAAAAGAAATATTAATCAAAAAAAGGTGTCTTTGGGGAGAGGGTGACCGCTGGAATTGTATACAGATCCTGACCAGCTCTAAGTTGAAGATTAGAACCCCACGATGATAAAGTGAAGATATTTTCAATTCAGATAATTAAGATTTTGCTATCAGGCCTGAGCGAAAATAAAGGAATGAAAACAATTGTTTTGGCTCACAGAAAGCGCCAGCAAGACGAGAAAAATTCTTCCTGAAGTCACATGTAATTAGCGGCGGGCTGTTTTGACAAAAAGCCAAAAGGTGAGAAAGGCCGAGATTGTCATTTTCGTGCGTGAAAAAGGCCAAATTGATTTTGTTTTTTTTTAGCAAGGTGTTTTTCCCAGAACAAAGCCCCGGATAGGCCACGCCCGATTGGAGACGTCACGAAGGACGAGAGACGCCCAACCAGAATCTCATTAGCCGAGAGCGGTCACGTGATATGCGAGAAAGAGGAGAAAGGACGCTCGACCAGCACCCATTGGTCGAAAACGGTCACCTGACATACGAGAGACCGGGAGAGATGGTGTACGCCCCCCCAGAGGCACTGTGGAGGAAATAGGGGTGAGAGGCGTGCGATAATGGGAAATCAGAAATAATGCGACTTTTGGAATTATCAAGAAAACCCTGACGCCGACAGACCCACCCCAGTTTGTTGCGGCGTCAATAAAAGCAGAACCCCAACCGACAGAAATCAGAGTTGCGGGGTAGACGGCCAGAGTAGTTGGAGAGCGGACGGTGGGCCTTGTTCATTCGCCCCTTGCGGGCAAGAAGGGCCGGTCCCTCTGGCCCGGACAGGCAGAGAAGTTGCAGCGCTGAAGCCGAAGAAAGAAGTTAGAGCTGCAGGCCAGACAGGCAGAAGAATTGCAAGCCAGACAGGCAGAAGAATGGCAGGCCAGACAGGCAGAAGAGTTGCCGGCCAGACAGGCAGAAGAATTGCAGGCCAGACAGAGAGAAGTTAGAGTTCCCGGGAAGGCAGAGAGAAGAGTCAGCCTCAGACGGCAGAGAGAAGAGTTCGGACCTTGGCGAGAAGAGTTGCAGGCCGGACGAAGAAGAAGTTACTTGCAGTTGCGCATAGAAGAAGTTGAAATCAAACCAAGCCTAAGAACAGAGATTCGTCCAACCCAAATCGAAGTGAAGAAATTCGTCCAACTCAAGCCGAAGTGAATAAGCTCGTCCAACTCAAGCCGAAGAGAAGAATCAGCCGTGAACGACTGGTAGAGATTAGCGCCCAGTGTCGAAACCAAACCACACCCGACATACAAATTTCTAGAGAGTAGGCAACTCGAAGTCTTTAAATTGTATGGTAGAAGCTTGGTGCCACAGTCCACAAAACGGGTCGGGAAGTAAGAATAATTTTATGTAACGAACATTAGATATAAAAGGTTGTTACCCTTTTTATCAGTAATTTTTGGCCTCGTGAGTTTTTCTTTTGCTTGTGTGTTGCCACCCGTCGAACTCAACTTGCATACGGCCCCAATCCCTGTTTGATCCCGTCTGTCTAAGATCTAATCACAACGTGGGTAGGCAGACCGGAGATCAGTACAGTTACCCTAGTAACCAGGTGTTGGAAGCGAGTTGGGAACGGCGAGGTTGGTAATCATCTAACCAAAGGGTTAGAGCGTCACACTTGGAGCAGCGAGGAGCGAACAGCTGACGCCGCGGCAAAAACGTCACAACTGGTGCTGTCCGTGACAAGGATCAACCCTTGGCGGCTACATCACGTCACGTCACAATTGAGCCGCGAACGAGATCGAACGACAGAGTCGACGCTGCGACCAGGGTGGGGGGGCGACGTCACACAAGAAAGCGTACGAAAATTTGTAACGCCGCACGAACACACTGGCAAGCCTTACCAGTGAGTAAATCAAAGTACTATAGACTTGCTCGAAAACTCTCCTGATTTAAATCCAATCGAGAATCTGTGGTCAGTCTGCAAGGAACGACTTCGTGGAATGGACATACGAAGTACTAACA